GTCGATAAGATAGCGAACCAATCGCGAATTTTATCGATGCTCTCTATAGCTCGGGCTGTATAATTGTTCAAGGCTTCTCTTTCTGGTGATAATTTCAGGTTTTGCCATGTTCCGATACCGTATCGCGATTCGTAGCCATTTCTTCAAATGGTTGTGAAGAAGCATGGTTTTCTTTTGGTTTGCGAAATTCGTAGATGTGTGTGTGTGTGATTATTCATTTGGAAATATGGTAAGGTAGGAATTAATTTGGAAGTATCTTTGATGGGTAGTTGACTATATAAAGATCGCAGCTGGAGCACATTTGTTACTTCGATTTGGAATAGAGTGGATCGAAATTTTAATTGGACCGAGTTCGAGAGGTGGTTGGAGTGGACACTGGTCACTGGCTAGTACCACTGGTTAACCGATGACCACTCTACTTGCACTTGACCATCATGTAGAATTCAAAATAAAATTATTTAATGGTACTGAATTAGTCTGGAATATTATGTCTGAATAATTTTTAAATAATTTTTTATCGAATTTTCTTTATTGATATATTTTTATAATAACTGAATTGTTTGTATATGATCACTACATTCGCACTTGACCACCATGTAGAGTACAAAATAAAATTATTTAATGGTACTGAATTAGTCTGGAATATTATATCTGAATAATTTTTAAATAATTTTTTATCGAATTTTCTTTATTGATATATTTTTATAATAACTGAATTGTTTGTATATGATCACTACATTCGCACTTGACCACCATGTAGAGTACAAAATAAAATTATTTAATGGTACTGAATTAATCTGGAATATTATAATATCGGAATAATTTTTAAATCATTTTTAATGGAATTTTTTTATTGGAATATTTTTATAATTGGACTGTTCGTATATGACCACTATATTTACACTTGACCACCATGTAGAGTTCGAAATAAAATTATTTAATGGTATTGAATTAATCCGGAATATTATAATATCGGAATAATTTTTAAATAATTTTTTATCGAATTTTCTTTACTGATATATTTTTATAATAACTGAATTATTTGTATATGATCACTACACTCGCACTTGACCATCATGTAGAGAACAGAATAAAATTATTTAATGGTACTGAATTAATCTGGAATATTATAATATCGGAATAATTTTTAAATAATTTTTAATGGCTAATTTTAATTTTTTTTATTGACAAATTTTTATATTAAACTGTTCATATATTCAAAATAAAATTATTTAACGATATTGAAATAATCCTGAATATTATACAATATTCGAAAAATATAAAAATTATTTTTAATATAATTTTCTTAATTGATGTATTTTTATAACAACTGAGTTCTTCGTATAATTACAATATATTCATGGAATTATACAAAGCAAATGGAAACATCAGTTAATTAACTACATATACTGAATTGAAGATAAGAAATTTCTATTAATTTAATTTATCTCTTCGTCCATGCTCTGCTCATCGGATAATTAAATTTCTTCTGCGAATTTCTAGGATTTTATTTCTCTTTCATAAATTCCTTAAGGGATTCTATTCCTTGCTATTTCCTCCATTTCTTACCTAAATATTTCAACGTGGAATATCAACGGATGTTATGATCCACGAACTTACAATTAATCCTTTGCACTCGAGAGGTGAGCTTCAGTCACCATTTCATAAAATTTGGAAGATCGATATTAATTAATATATCAAATTTAATGTAACGTAACAGTGTGCGAGGTATCGAGATCAAATAATTCTACAATTCTATTATTATACGATTCTTTATTCACTGCTCAAAGAAGTATCGTCAGTTTTCTAGTAGAGAATCTTTGAACTTCTACTCCTCTTCAGGCAAAAAATCGACGAGTGTAAAGGGTTAATATCATCAAGTTATAAGTAAAAATCGTGCCTGCAATCATCAACAACCCCCAATTGCGAATCGTCAAAGAAATCGACCACACAACTCTCCGATCCACTAAAATTCAACGATGAGAGACGTAAAGCAACTGGTTCAAGAGGACGTCGAACACGAGCCTCATGTTTCTATTCATCGAATCCCCGACTGGATACGCCTCTGTTTTGTCCTGGTTAGAGGAAAGATCGGCCACTTTGTCACGCGAATCGTGACTAATGCCTGTCCCACGCGCGTCTTGCGCGCGAACAAACCTTCGGATCATGCAAAAAGCAGGCAAGGCTCAGGGAGCAATCCCGAGGCCAGCCACGCTAACAATGCCACTTGTTATGCGTATTTTCTGGCAGGCCGCGGCTTGGAACGTCGCCAGCAGCTTAGGCTGTCGTATTTCGTCGGGACGACGTCTGCCGTTTGCATTTACCGCATATTAAGCCGCCGTTGCAACGGTGCAGCCTGCCAAACGGTCGATGCATTCGCAGACGCTTTGGCCACGGCTGATCTGCGATCTAGGGACGCTGGCGTCCGTGCTATGGCGTCACGGGCCTAGGTGATTGCTCCCCTGGGTGCGTTTTGTACGCGGTGTTCCGATGCAATTGGAAAATTGCTGTTCCAGTTAGGGACAGAGAATGGGTGGCACGAGAATTTTAAGGGAAGATGGGGAGAGGGTTGGGGGTACGACGAAATATCTGGAGATCCGATTTCTGAAGAGTTTGGAAAATAAAGAAAGAATTGGAAAGGGGTGGAGATCGGAGACCTAATTTCTGAAGAGTCGAGAAAATAAGGGAGCAATAAGGAAGGATTGAAATACCCCCAGATTTAAGGAATTAAGTTAGGGGTAGTTGGAAAAAATTGTGGTCCACGAGGAAAATAATTCATCCGCTCCAGACTTTAAAAAAGTAAATGAAAATAGATATATAACTTCTCCACAATTGGTCAATGAATTCACCCCGAAAAATATATATAATTCCGTAATAAAATAATGAATGAAGAGTTCAAAAAATAGAGGAATAGTTGGAAAGGGGTGGAGATCGGAGACCTAATTTCTGAAGAGTCGAGAAAATAAGGGAGCAATAAGAAAGGATTGAAATACCCCAAGATTTAAGGAAATAAGTTAGGGGTAGTTGGAAAGCATTGTGGTCCACGAGGAAAATAATTCATCCGCTCCAGACTTTAAAAAAATAAATGAAAATAGATATGTAACTTCCCAACAACTGATCAATGAATTCACCCCAAAAATATATATAATTCCGTAATAAAATAATCAATGAAAAGTTCAGAAAATAAAGGAATAGTTGGAAAGGGGTGGATATCGGAGACCTAATTTCTGAACAGTTGAGAAAATAAGGAAATACTAAGAAAGGGTTGAAATTATGGTAAACTACCCCAATATTTAAGAAAAAAAGTTAGGGGTAGTTGGAAAGCATTGGCCCACGATGAAAATAATCCAACTATCTCATATTTATCAAAAATCGAGAAATCAATAAATTCGCCCCGAAAAATATACAGTTTCATAAAAAAAAAAAAAAAATCAAGATCACCATGAAATCTCGGAAGCTCGTCCCCCCGACAAAAATTTACGACCATTATGAGATGTCCCCTCGAAACACGGTAAGCTTCATTCCAAACATTTTATGAACCGAACTCTAGATTAGGAAATAATCCATCGCGAAACTTCAAATGGTGCCCCCTGTCTGCGACGCAGTCAGCGAGGGGGTTAAAATCGATGGAATGCATCGGGAAGCACGGAATTAAATACTCACAGCTCGTGTTCGAAAATATTCCGTCTCTTGGATTAAAAAATATTCGACACAGCGAAATACCTGAAGATAAAGAGACTCTAAATCCCCGGAACCTACCCCCTTCCATTATCACGGAGCATTTGAAGGAAGAAAGGAAACCAGTCCCTTTATCGAGTGTCATAGATCATAGACGTCGCCCGGACAACGTTAAAACGGGAAAATACTCCGGCGTAAATTCGCTTTGCAAATAAAAAGGGCAGATTCTAGGCCGCCATTCATCCCACGCGCTCGAACAATGCGCGACGACTGAAAATATTCGCGGAATCAGCGACCGATCAAACCCTGGCCGCCGCGGGGGTGGTTTTCCCGGTGAAAACCGCCGGTCAAACAATCGCCAGCGCGATATTTCATACTCTTTGTTTCGCTCTCCGCCGATTCAACCGGCGAGCTTTCCCTTCGCGGCTACTTGAACAGCTTCTTTGCCCGTTCATTGTGCGCGATGGCCGATTGTTTCCCTCTTGATTAATAAATTTTCGGCTAACTTCCGCTCGGGTAAATAAATCAGGGACTTGCGGGTATTGAGTTCGGGCGACCTGGGGCGTTTTAAACGTCGCGAGAGATGGATGGATCCGTTCCGGAATACCGAAACAGGAGAGGAATATGAGAGAATTTTTTCAAAGCCACAGGGGGTTGGTTTGAAAAAATAAGTTAGACTCTGTATTTGGGAACAGTGAATTGCGGTTTCTCGCAAGCTACGAGGAATAGAAGAATTATTTTGAAACGGAAAATAGGGAAGAAAAAGAAAATGGAAATAATAATGGCGATAAGGAAACGAAAGGGGGTTGATTTCTGGAAGTATGGTACTTGCAAATTTGCTATTTTTGTTTCCGAAATTTGGTGCGAATGAAAGGATAAGTATAAAATTCGAAACAAAGGGGAGAAGATGGGCGAAGATAAATTCGACAGGGTGGAATTTAGAAAAATTCCCATGAGCGATTAAGAGCATTGGAAGGTGACGAAATCGATGGGAAAAGCTCGCCGAGGTAATGGGATATTTTTCATGGAGGGAAGAAGTAAGGGCGATAAGTGAAATTTTCTCGTATCGGGAAGTCTCGGGGGGTGGTGCAGGAGCACTCGAGAATTTTCCACGACGATACGCTTTTAACCCCCTGCTCCGAGGTCCGTGTACTTCCGCGGAAAACTTCTCGCTGGGTGAACAAGAGGGAGAGAGAGGAAGACAGGACGGAGGAGAAAGAGGGTGGTCGGAGAAGGAAGGCTTTGCCTGGCTTGCAATTTTCTTACGCCTAATCGATTCGCTTAAGTGCACTCACCCCTTCCTCTTTGCCTTGCAACAAGTGGAAAGCGCCGGCTCTTTGGATGCCAGGAAGGAACCAGATCGGATGGGAGCGTATAAGCCTCTCGATCAGAGTGATGTCGCACGCGACCTCGCTGCCAGAATCTTCCGTCGAACTGGAAGATCCACCAGAGGTGGCCGACCCCTCCGAGGAAAGCGACTCCTCGCTCTGAAACATCAAGTTCCTTGGTTAGTTTCGTTCTATGTACGGTCTTTGCTCTTTTCTATAAGTTTCCAATCTTTTTTCTCATATATTACATGTATGTATATATTAATTATTCGTTATACAATATATGATATATTATATATATTATATATCATACCTTCTGTACTATATATTTTATATTATATATGCTAT